ACCCGAATCTGCATGACAGTGTCTTCCATTGCAGACACTGCAAGGCTCCAGGCGGACATCAACCAAATCTTTCAGTGGGCTGCAGAAAAACAATATGAAGTTCAACGATGGGGAAATTTCAATTACTCAGATATGGTAAACATGAGGAAATTAAATCTTCATCAGAGTACAAAACAAATTCTGGCCACAAAATAGAGCGAAACACCAACGTCAAAAACCTAGGAGTGATTATGTCGGAGGATCTCACCTTCAAGGACCATAACATTGTATCAATCGCATCTGCTAGAAAAATGACAGGATGGATAATGAGAACCTTCAAAACTAGGGAGGCCAAGCCCATGATGACACTCTTCAGGTCACTTGTTCTATCTAGGCTGGAATATTGCTGCACTCTAACAGCACCTTTCAAGGCAGGTGAAATTGCCGACCTAGAAAATGTACAGAGAACTTTCACGGCGCGCATAACGGAGATAAAACACCTCAATTACTGGGAGCGCTTGAGGTTTCTAAACCTGTATTCCCTGGAACGCAGGAGGGAGAGATACATGATTATATACACCTGGAAAATCCTAGAGGGACTAGTACCAAACTTGCACACGAAAATCACTCACTACGAAAGCAAAAGACTTGGCAGACGATGCACCATCCCCCCAATGAAAAGCAGGGGTGTCACTAGCACGTTAAGAGACCATACAATAAGTGTCAGGGGCCCGAGACTGTTCAACTGCCTCCCAGCACACATAAGGGGGATTACCAACAGACCCCTGGCAGTCTTCAAGCTGGCACTGGACAAGCACCTAAAGACAGTTCCTGATCAGCCGGGCTGTGGCTCGTACGTTGGTTTGCGTGCAGCCAGCAGCAACAGCCTGGTTGATCAGGCGCTGATCCACCAGGAGGCCTGGTCACAGACCGGGCCGCGGGGGCGTTGACCCCCGAAACTCTCTCCAGGTAAACTCCAGGTAAACTGTCTTCCTATTATGTCCTAGAATCTGTATTGATAAAGCCACTGGTTGGCGAAACGTCTACAATAAAGATATCCAGATGTTGCACATGTGTCTTAACTTTCATATTGTCGGTATTTTATACCTTTCTTGCACAAGATGGGTCCTACACAGATGACAGCAAGGCAATGAGTGAGCTACTCAAGTCCCAATATGACTCAGTTTTTAGCAAGCCGCTAACCAGACGGAGAGTCGAAGATCAAAATTAATTTTTTATGAGAAAACCACAAAATTTGGTTAACACAAGCCTATCCGATGTTATCCTGACGCCAAATGACTTCGAACAGGCGATAAATGACATGCCCATGCACTCTGCCCCAGGGCCAGACTCATGGAACTCCGTGTTCATCAAGAACTGCAAGAAGCCCCTATCACGAGCCTTTTCCATCCTGAACATTAAAATGGTATAAAATACCGACAGATTGTTAGGTAAGACACATATGCAACAGTTAGGTATCTTTATTTTGAAACGTTTCGCCTACACAGTAGGCTTCTTCAGTCGAGTACAGAAAAGTTGATAGAAGCAGAAGATACTTGAAGACGATGTAATCAGTCCATCACCCTTAAAGTTTTGAGGTGGTCAGTCCCTCAGTCTGGAGAAGAGCATTGTTCCGTTGTCTGAAACAATATGAAGTTGAAGTGACAGGATGGAACCTTTTATAGTGCCAGGAGGTGAGACGTAGGTTGCGTTGGGAGGGCAGGTCCCTCTCAAACCCAGCCGTTCTCACTTGTAGAGAATGTCGAAGTTGATGGTCTGTACCAAGATACCCTTGTGTTGCAGTGTCTGACAGAATGAACATTAAAATGGTATAAAATACCGACAGATTGTTAGGTAAGACACATATGCAACAGTTAGGTATCTTTATTTTGAAACGTTTCGCCTACACAGTAGGCTTCTTCAGTCGAGTACAGAAAAGTTGATAGAAGCAGAAGATACTTGAAGACGATGTAATCAGTCCATCACCCTTAAAGTTTTGAGGTGGTCAGTCCCTCAGTCTGGAGAAGAGCATTGTTCCGTTGTCTGAAACAACATGAAGTTGAAGTGACAGGATGGAACCTTTTATAGTGCCAGGAGGTGAGACTGATGGACTGATTACATCGTCTTGAAGTATCTTCTGCTTCTATCAACTTTTCTGTACTCGACTGAAGAAGCCTACTGTGTAGGCGAAACGTTTCAAAATAAAGATACCTAACTGTTGCATATGTGTCTTACCTAACAATCTGTCGGTATTTTATACCATTTTAATGTTCATTCTGTCAGACACTGCAACACAAGGGTATCTTGGTACAGACCATCAACTTCGACATTCTCTACAAGTGAGAACGGCTGGGTTTGAGAGGGACCTGCCCTCCCAACGCAACCTACGTCTCACCTCCTGGCACTATAAAAGGTTCCATCCTGTCACTTCAACTTCATATTGTTTCAGACAACGGAACAATGCTCTTCTCCAGACTGAGGGACTGACCACCTCAAAACTTTAAGGGTGATGGACTGATTACATCGTCTTCAAGTATCTTCTGCTTCTATCAACTTTTCTGTACTCGACTGAAGAAGCCTACTGTGTAGGCGAAACGTTTCAAAATAAAGATACCTAACTGTTGCATATGTGTCTTACCTAACAATCTGTCGGTATTTTATACCATTTTAATGTTCATTCTGTCAGACACTGCAACACAAGGGTATCTTGGTACAGACCATCAACTTCGACATTCTCTACAAGTGAGAACGGCTGGGTTTGAGAGGGACCTGCCCTCCCAACGCAACCTACGTCTCACCTCCTGGCACTATAAAAGGTTCCATCCTGTCACTTCAACTTCATATTGTTTCAGACAACGGAACAATGCTCTTCTCCAGACTGAGGGACTGACCACCTCAAAACTTTAAGGGTGATGGACTGATTACATCGTCTTCAAGTATCTTCTGCTTCTATCAACTTTTCTGTACTCGACTGAAGAAGCCTACTGTGTAGGCGAAACGTTTCAAAATAAAGATACCTAACTGTTGCATATGTGTCTTACCTAACTTTTCCATCCTATGGAGAGGGAGCATGGACACAGGGGTCGTCCCACAGTTACTAAAAACAACAGACATAGCCCCACTCCACAGAGGGGGCAGCAAAGCAACAGCAAAAAACTACAGACCGATAGCACTAACATCCCATATCATAAAAATCTTTGAAAGGGTCCTAAGAAGCAAGATCACCATCCATCTAGAAACCCATCAGTTACACAACCCAGGGCAACATGGGTTTAGAACAGGTCGCTCCTGTCTGTCTCAACTATTGGATCACTACGACAAGGTCCTAAATGCACTAGAAGATAAAAAGAATGCAGATATAATATATACAGACTTTGCAAAAGCCTTCGACAAGTGTGATCATGGCGTAATAGCGCACAAAATGCGTGCTAAAGGAATAACAGGAAAAGTCGGTCGATGGATCTATAATTTCCTCACTAACAGAACACAGAGAGAAGTCGTCAACAGAGTAAAGTCCGAGGCAGCTACGGTGAAAAGCTCTGTTCCACAAGGCACAGTACTCGCTCCCATCTTGTTCCTCATCCTCATATCCGACATAGACAAGGATGTCAGCCACAGCACCGTGTCTTCCTTTGCAGATGACACCCGAATCTGCATGACAGTGTCTTCCATTGCAGACACTGCAAGGCTCCAGGCGGACATCAACCAAATCTTTCAGTGGGCTGCAGAAAACAATATGAAGTTCAACGATGAGAAATTTCAATTACTCAAATATGGTAAACACGAGGAAATTAAATCTTCATCAGAGTACAAAACAAATTCTGGCCACAAAATAGAGCGAAACACCAACGTCAAAGACCTGGGAGTGATCATGTCGGAGGATCTCACCTTCAAGGACCATAACATTGTATCAATCGCATCTGCTAGAAAAATGACAGGATGGATAATGAGAACCTTCAAAACTAGGGTGGCCAAGCAAATGATGACACTCTTCAGGTCACTTGTTCTATCTAGGCTGGAATATTGCTGCACACTAACAGCACCTTTCAAGGCAGGTGAAATTGCTGACCTAGAAAATGTACAGAGAACCTTCACGGCGCACATAACGGAGATAAAACACCTCAATTACTGGGAGCGCTTGAGGTTCCTAAACCTGTATTCCCTGGAATGCAGGCGGGAGAGATACATGATTATATACACCTGGAAAATCCTAGAGGGACTAGTACCGAACTTGCACACGAAAATCACTCACTACGAAAGCAAAAGACTTGGCAGACGATGCAACATCCCCCCAATGAAAAGCAGGGGTGTTACTAGCACGTTAAGAGACCATACAATAAGTGTCAGGGGCCCGAGACTGTTCAACTGCCTCCCAGCATACATAAGGGGAATTACCAACAGACCCCTGGCAGTCTTCAAGCTGGCACTGGACAAGCACCTAAAGTCGGTTCCTGACCAGCCGGGCTGTGGCTCATACGTTGGTTTGTGTGCAGCCAGCAGCAACAGCCTGGTTGATCAGGCTCTGATCCACCAGGAGGCCTGGTCACAGACCGGGCGCGGGGGCGTTGACCCCGGAACTCTCTCCAGGTAAACTCCAGTCATCATCAGGAACTATGCAAAGATGCAAAGCAACAACTGAAGGAGTGAGAGGGGAATTTTTCTCAGAGTAGCGCAGTGCGGGTTATATATATATATATATATATATATATATATATATATATATATATATATATATATATATATATATATATACATATATATATATATATATATATATATATATATATATATATATATTATATATATATATATATATTATATATATATATATATATATATATATATATATTTATATATATATATTATATATATATTATATATATATATTATATATATATATATATATATATATATATAAATATATATATATAAGTGTGTATATAGGTATATAATATAATATAATATAACATAATTTTGTTTTATAAGAATATTATTAATACTATATTTTATGGTAGTAGTGTGGGTGATGTAGTGAAGTATATTCCTGAGTATAGTGGGGGAGGTACAGTGTCCGGGACCTTGTGATCAAAACAATCGTGTCCTCCCACCTGTCACCATGGTCAGTATTATTACTAGCTTCTCTGACACCTCCTGACCCTGGTACTCAAGGGAGGCTCTAGTAGGGTTACTTTCAGACAGCAGAGATAACTGATGACATTTTTTTTCCCCATTTTTCACATTAAGACCTATTTCAAGATTATGGCTGACTGCCTCTCTTGCTATTTTATTATTATTATAATAAAAAAGAAGCGCTAAGCCACAAGGACTATACAGATTTCTATTTTATAATAATTTTTTTCTCACTTGTCTCTATTATCTCTAATACGATGGAAATAAAGATAATTTCTCTGAAGTTTCCAGTTTTGGACTGTCGTTTTTAATTGACATATCAAGCTAAAATCTCACTTTGCAGTTCTTTTCTCTTTGTCGATATTACTGATCAATTATTTAGTAGTTCTTGTAAATACATGACTGATGTGGAAAATTGCATTTAGCTGAACGTATCATTATGTACATAACAGTAAATGAACAGATAATTATTATTTATCAGTTAGACAAGTAGGAATTTGGGACACCTAGGTCGCAAAAAATGTCCCCCTTCGATACCTACCACTGTCATATCCACAAGTTGCTCTGGACCTATTAACTAAATGAAATATACATCACCAGGAATGCTGATAAATATATAAATTTGTGGACTGTATATTAAAATTAAAAAAGGATTATATATACACAATTACATAACAGAAGGAAAATATATCTTAATATCACTCAACAATTTGACTGGAGATTAATGTGTATCATACTCAGAAAACCTCACTCTAACTAAATCTATGAAAATAATGCTGGCCAGAATTACACACAAATCTAGAGAGCTTATCTGAGGTTCCTGGAGCTGTCTTGTCCAGTCGTCTGATATCTCAAGTTATGCAGGAATGCACATCCAACAATTTTGCCTCCTATTTGAGAGGTGTCAACCCAATTTTAACCTCTAGAGCACGAAAATTTCTACCCATTACACCAACGTTCTAATACAAATTCAAAACCAAGATGGTGAGTCTCCCTTTCTGCGCAGGCGCAGCTTCCAGTTTCCCATTTTCGATAACATACTTCTTTTAAAAATACAATATAGGCATCTATTTACATATAAATTACCGTATTTCCGGAAAATATACAGTATTTTCCACAACTGATATATGTGTACACTACTGGTAAATTATATGGATTTAACTTAGGAAAAAACCAAGTCTGTTTGATATATTTCCAGGAGTCCTATTGACCTAGGCACCTGGGCACCCATGAAAATATATTGTCTCTACCATAAGATTAAAAAAAAAAAAAAGTTGAATGACACTTACAACTATTTCTTGTTAAATGAACGGTAGAAATTGTTTTTATTGTATTTTACTATATTGTAGGTTTGTGTTTATTATAGTTGTTAAGATTTTGATTGAAGATCCTAAGAAACTGATATATTTTTAATCAATACATTGCATAGAATTTAGACCTTATATATTTGCATAAACATTCATGATTATATTTTGATAATTTGAATGCTGCACTGGGTGTTATGAAAGGTTTTACGCACATTAAAATTTAAAATAACTATCTCAGTATTGTAAGTACACTATATATATTCCACAGCTGGTTCTGGTACTAGGCGATCTACATATTCCTCACCGCACGAGTTCTCTGCCTGCAAAATTTAAGAAGTTGCTAGTTCCAGGTCGCATTCAGCACATTCTTTGCACTGGAAATCTCTGCACAAAGGAGAGTTATGACTATCTCAAAACTCTGGCAGCAGACGTACATGTTGTTCGAGGAGACTTTGACGAGGTGAGACTAAAGAATTAGCAAGTTTTACTCTCAGAAAAGTATTGATTTCATTATGAAAATAAAAATCCTTGCTTTTTTGAAACATACATGGAAGTTAGATTAACTGGGCTTGCAGTTCACTTACCATATTTTCCGGCATGTAAGGTGAGCTTTTTTTTTCCCACAAAAAGTCTTAGAAAATCACGCTGCACATTATATACTCAAGGTCAGGGTCAAGAGTAATCTTTGGGTTACACTTTAGCAGTTGTTTACTAATGTTACATTACAACTTCTGGGAAACATCGTGACAGCAAGTAGTCGACATTCGTGTCATACAATTATGATACAATTACAGTTTAATGCTCCAAAGAAAGCCACTTATGAAAAGTATTTCAGGCAGACTAATTCGGAACCTTTCAAACTATGGTAGATAAGCACATTTCACACAAGATACGTATCGAAAAAACAGAGCTGCAAGTGAAAACACGATAGGTAGAGTGAACAACTTGTGGGAAAAAGTGGGTCAGGTTTTATACCACCCTCAGAAAAAGAAAAAACTTTTCTTGTAAATACACAGTTGACCTAAAATACTAAACTGAGTATTGCTAATGATTTTAAAAGACACGCAAATGGATGCCTAAGTTTCGCTGTCTGAAGTGGATGATTGTGGTTCGCAGGCTGAGGTCAGTGCATAGCTGTTACTTTTGGGAGTCCTGAAGTATTCTGTCATGTGTCTGCTGTGTATTACCCAGCAGTACTTTGTACAACTAACAGTAAGGCATCATTGCCTGGTTCACGATCCATTTCAGAGTAGAGCTGCAAGATATGTCAGGGTCCTCTTCATTGTAAAAGTCTGCAAGTTTAGCAGCAACATGGAACTGCTCATGTAACCATTGAAGTGTTAATTGTTTCTCTGCAAGCTCTTCTTCCTCATCCTCTTCTACTCTGAGTCTCTTGTGTCTGGGAATTCAGCTCTGCCAACATATCCTCTAACCTCTTTCTTCCTCGTTATCTTCTAATAGTTCATTAACATCTTAATGGCTGCATGTCTTCAAAGCCCTCATCTGGCAGTTTCCTTGCCATCTGAACGATTTCCTTTCCACTGAAATTACAGTGGACCCCCGCCTTACGAATGCATCGCCTTACGTTAAATCTGCCATACGAAGCATTTGAACGCAAAAATTTTGCCTCGCCTCACAATAAAAAACTCACTTTATGTGATTCGTCCAGGACGCGTCCCATGTGTGGCCTCAGCGCCAGTGTTTACAAGCCAGCCAGTGCGGTTGTATCTACGCATACATTCGGTACATTTCACATTATCCCAGTGTTTTTAGTGCTTGTAACTGCAAAATAAGTCACCATGGACCCCAAGAAAGGTTCTAGTACCATCCCTGTGGTAAAAAGGGCGAGAATTAATATGGAAATGTGTGCAAAGTGGGTTTAACTGCAAACCTTTATGAATGAATATCACCCTGACACAGCTACTGCAAGCCGTGTTGGCAACCTGTACAATGACAATGTTATGGCCCATTTTAGGAAAGTCTTAAAGGAACGGGAGGTACAGAGCTCTATGGACAGATTTGTTGTGCGACAGAGGTCCAGTGCCTCTCAAGCTGGGCCTAGTTGCATTAAAAGAAGAAAGGAAGTAACCCTGGAAAAGGACTTGCTACCTCAAGTCCTAATGGAAGGGGATTCCCCTTCTAAACAATAACAACTTCCACACTCTCCCCTCCTCCCATCCCATCAGTCATCACCAGATCTTCAAAGGTAAGTGTCATGTATTCTATTCATAGTAGAGTAGGAATTGTGCCTGTCTTTTTCAGGTTGTGTGTATTAAAATTAATATTTCATGTGGTAAAATTTTTTTTTTATCATGCTTTGGGGTGTCTCGCACGGATTAATTTGAATTCCATTATTTCTCATGGGGAAAATTAATTCGCCTTATGATAATTTCGGCTTACGATGAGCTCTCAGGAACGGATTAATATCGTAAGGCGGGGGTCCACTGTATTCACCAAATTAGGCCATAATTTTCCCCAGCTGCATTTATTGTTGACTTGGGCACATTATCACATGCAGCTTAGACGCAAGGTTTTTGCTGCTTCTATTAAACATACTTCAGGAATAAAATGATGCTCGAATTAGTTAGCAAATAATTCCTCTGTCGTCCATGCTGACTAGTTTGACCACCAGGTAACAAGCAACATAGTTTTGTCTTTCTGTTTTAAAACACAAGGCTTATTTTTAACCCTTTCACTATCAAGACCCCCCCCCCTAAAATAATATTGTTCAGTGTCCAAACTTTAAAAAAAAGTGTTTTTCTTCTGAAATTGTAGAGAATCTTTTTGCCTACGTAGCGTAGTGTATGTTTTGCTCCATTATTGTTCAAATTTCATTGTGCAATCTCTTAGTAATTAAATAATCAACTACCTCATTTTGTGATTTTACTAGTAAGCATAAGTCACCATATGTGATTTTGTTATTTACTATTGTTCGCTTAAACATTAGCTGAATTGATACTTTCTCTGTCCATATTACTACCTCATTTTTTTAAATACTATCAGTTGATATTACTTACTAAAATTAATAATTATAATTTTTACTAAAATTTCAATTTACTCTTAACATTTTTGACATTTAATAACCATTACTTGTCTAATTACCTTTACCTGTTTTAATACCACATTTACTATCTTAGATTACTCTTAATTACCTTGTACTGCCATATAACCAAGTATAACTACCAGTGCAATATTGAATGAAATAAACATTACTTTTTCACTTTTTGTAATCAAATTTTTACTTACTAAAATTTTATTAAACACCATATTTACTACCAGTCAATTTTACTTTTGTACATTAAACATTATCTTATACTTCCCATAACATTTTGTTGCCAAATTTTCAAGTTTGTATATTCAACCCCAACCTTTATATTATCCTTTGTACCTGTGTACCTGTCTACCATCTTACTATCATATTATAACCAAGACATTACCATTGTTATTTTTTTACTATTATTCTTTTGGTACTTTAATTGTGAATTTTATTTTGTCAATTTAAATCTAGTTATAATCTTGATCTTGTCAACAACCTGTACCAGACTCTAGTGCAATTGCAAGTACCATTTCAAATTGTATTTTTATATTATAAGTTTATATTATAATTCCTACCATCTGTCCATTTAACTTTGTTTACCATTACTTAATTTTAGTCCCTTATATATTTTCTCCTTTATTTTAGCTTTATATAACTACCCTAGTTTATATATTCACAATTAAAATAATCAAGGTGCTATTCTCAGGTGCTAAAGTAGAATAAGTTCACAATTTTGCCATTATATTCCAAAGCTCATTTATTTGATTACCACTTTATTGTTCACCTCAACCTATATTAGTCCCTTTTATATATATAATTTTATACTATAATTCTAACTTTAAAAAATTACCTTTATAGTACTACCTACTATCATATTCCCAAGCTCCATTTTTGATCATCACTTTATTTGTATTAGTCCTTTTATATTGTCTCCTTTATTTTAGCTTAAAAAAAAAAAAAAAAAAAACTACATTAGCTCATTATTTTACATTTGTTAAATAATTCAGGTGCTATTTTTAGCTTAAGACTATTTACTTTGTTTTAATACTTAATTCTAACTATAGATTCACTACAAATCTTATGATTACAAGCATTGATCCTGATACCAACCTCTTATTTAATGACTTAAATGAATACAAACAGTTACTGTAATTACTACACTGCAGAACAATCAAAGGCACTTCTCAGTGCCAACAACAACATAACTATCTTTAACTACAATATCAGATCTTTAAGCAAGCATTACGATGACCTCATAGCATTACTAAATTCCTTACATGCCAGTATATCCATCATTACACTAACTGAAACCTGGCTAAAGCCTGATAGTACAGATGTCTATGCCATTCCTGGTTACACAGCCATACACAACTGTAGGCCAGACCAACAAGGGGGTGGCACAGCCATATACTACTCAGACCAACTAGAATGTATCGCTAATACTTGCACAAGGGATGAACATGGGGAATATATAATAGCTAAATTCAAATCCAAATACCTACAAAAACCTCTCACATTGATAAACATCTACAGAGTTCCACAGTCAAACATTAGCCAATTTAGTCAAAACCTAGGAAGTATGATAACTGATGCACGCATGAACAAAGATCACTACTACTCTCAGGTGACTTCAATATAAATCTCCTGCAAGACCAGGACCCACACGTTACTGAATTCACAAAACACAATGAGTACTGTATGTTACTACCACAGTAACAAAACCTACAAGAGTTACAGAGACTAGTGTTTCCCTACTTGACCACATCTGGACCAACACCATATCCCCCCCTTTAAAATCAGGCATAATTACAGATAATACCACAGACCACTACCTACTTTCCTCATAACAACTCTTGGTAAACTACCCCAAGACACTACTAAAGTCACCTTCAGACTTCACAATGAGGCAGCCATTAATAACTTCACAACAGCAGTAGCAAACATTGATTGGCACACTGAGCTAGAAATCTATACAGATATTGACGAATGTATTAATAATTTTCTAAAAAAGACCCAATACCTCTATAACAAGCACTGCCCTAAGAAAACTAAACAGATGACAGCTAAGAGACTGAACAGTCCCTGGCTAACACCCAGCATTCTCAAATCCATAAATACAAAACACCAATATGAAAAACAGTACAGAATGGGTCACATAACCAGAGACCAAACAAAACGTTACTCGTCATCCTAACCAGCCTGATAGAAGGGCAAAAAAATTGTATATGAGAACAGATTATCCAACTTACGAGGTGATATAAAAAAGACCTGGAAAACCCTATCAGAAATTCTGGGAACAAAAAAGATATCACGAAATAGCGAAATAAAATTAGCAAAATCAGATGAACCCCAACTCCCACCAACAGAAACAGCAAACAGACTCAATGATTTCTTCTCCACTATAGGACAAAACCTTGCCAATA